AGAGAGCTGGATAACATAATCTACCAAGTTGTTCTGCTTGCTTCCACAATTTTATCCCCTTTTGATCATGTGCTTTGTAGCTATGGGATGAAATAAAGTCTCTTCTACACTTTCCAAATGTTAATCTTATGAATGGATAAGGGTGTTTTTTGTTTTTTTTTAAATAATAAAACAAGTCATTTCCTGAGGTTTGTAATACACTCAAAGATTTGTTCACCATTTTACAGCAACTACTGTTCCAGTGTCCAGTGTTATTGTCTCTTGGAGGAAAAATACTTTTTGCGCCAGCGTTAGTCACGTGATATGAGAAAGTTGTAATAATGCTGTTTGGCCACTGTGCAAAAATCACAGCACAGTTCCTTGCTTCTGTGTGTGTTCCTGTGCTGGTCCAGAGCAGCAGGTAATGAGCTGAAAACTAATCTCTGCTGCAATCATGGAAAACCCCTCCTCGCAACTGCAATTTGACTGTTTTTCTTTTTCTAACTTGAGCTGAAATTTACAAAGTCAATTATCTGCCAAGTGAGTTTCATGACCTTTGGGCCCTTAAAACCTGTAAGAACAGCATTCCTTGCTTCCTTCCTGCAGAATGTCCTTTCTGCAGATATGTGGCTTCTGTCCGACAGCAGTGATACATGCCAAGAGATTAGCTTGTAGCCCGACTTCCCCGTAAGAAAGTTGTAAAACCAGATGAGTACGCAGCGTGATAGATCCCAGAGCTCCCGCACTAGTACAGCAGCTCTCTAAAAACATACCTCCCTGCTCTCTGAATGATACATGGAAAACACTTCACTTCTTCACATAAGCAGCTTGAGCTGTTAGTTACATCTTGAAATATACAAGGCACCAAACCCTCCATTTTGCATTTACACTTTACACACAGTTTCCAGGGTGTTCGTCTGAGGCTGTTCATAACTGCCTCCATAAACATCTTAAATATCTGCAGTTTAGTTCATTACAAGGATGTAAAATGCAACAACTTCATGTCACAATTTGGGGTTTTATTGTGTAGCTCCACCTTATGTGCTGCCAGCTGTGATCCATGGCTGCAGGAAGAAGCATCAACATTTTCGCTACTGGCAACATCGACATCCAACTCATTCATCTGACTCGTGTTGGTGGTTTAAATATTAAATGTGGGATCTTTTTTTTCATTGTCTATTCCATCTCACAGGTACCACTTTGTAAGGTGACATGTTTTATAATTAAGTAGCTTAAACTGTTGTTTTCTCTGATGACACCAGTTGGACCAGACAGAAATGTTTCAAAACCTTCTGCTTTGATTGCTGTCACGTGTTATTCTTACAGTGGATAGATTCTATCCATTCTCTCTTTTTTTTCTCTAGCAAATGATGCAAACATCCAACACAGTTTGACTGGACATTAAAACATCTGCAACGAGCCAGCTCCCGAGTACAAGGTCAGTGAAATCTGTCCGTGTGTGAAAAGTGCATGTTGTTAATTTACAGTGAGTGAGTGGGCATCATGTGTGCTGCTGCCTCTGGGTCATGTTCACTCAATGGAAGATTTCCAGTTGTGAGATAGTGCCTTGTCCCCTAGTGTGTTGTTATATGTGAGAAAGCGTGACTTTGGACAACATCCTGACCAGGAGCATTCCTGACATCGTCATTGTCACCTCCTCGCCTCTGAGCCAGACCTACCGACTGCAGGGGGGGCCTTAACCTCGGGGCTTTTGTGGCTCCGGCTGCCGTTTGAATGCAGGAGGGTCATCACACACCCTGAAAACCTCCTGTGTCCACAAGCCAGCCAACTACCATAAGAAAATGTCTTTTCGTCTCCTCACCTTGCTTTTGAACACATACTGTATACATCTGATTTTCTCATTTGTTGATATTTTCACTGAGTTTGTGAGTGGTTACATTAAAATAGCAAATTAACAAAAATTATGAGGTTTGTAAGATGTATGAAGCAGTTTTTAATCCCACAGCTCTTTCAGACTTCTATAAAACTGAAGCATTTAATTTCACTTCAGCACAACTTGATTAATCAGTCTTGGGGAAATTCATTCAAAGCAGCCTGTATTAAAAAGAGGGAGAAAATAAAAGCCAGGATAACAGACTTTTGTCAGTCAGGACTGATGCCATAAAACGGGACAATATATTTATATAGTTTTTAAAGAAAAGTATAGCTGATATTTGAGTCCCAGTAGCACCTGCTTTGGGTTCTGCAGCATCCTTCATGACTTTCTCCAACATTTCCTCAGTCTGTGTGTGTGTTTATGCGTTTGTGTGTGGATGATCATTAAAGGACCATCTGCAGTCAGATCAGGTAGACCCCCTTCTTCTCCCTGTTGCCATCTAGTGGTTAATATTACTGAAATTCAATCTCACTGCAACAGTCTTTACCTTTAACAGGACCTTTCATGGTCTCATTTGAACACACTGTGCTTTTTTCTTTCTCTTTTAACCACATAAAGTCTTTCGCCACACATTATGTCTTGATCTTTATCTCTTTAACACTTGCAGCATGCTTTTTTTTTCACAAGCTTACTTTTAAAAGCACAGTTTCCTTTTTTCTCTCTGCAACACACACACAAACACACACTTTAGTCTTTGGACTCTCTTCCTCTCTGTCTCATTTGACTGATGCACACCTCAGCTCTGCTTGCACTGGTGTGTGTTTTCAGTGTGCAGCAGCACATTTGGAGCAGCTGGGTGGGTCCTAATTATTTCTTTGAAGACTTGCTTTTCCTCCCCGTCTGAGCATCTGATGAGCTTCACTTTAAAGAGGCCAGACACACACATGCACAGACACTGTCATGCAACCTGCCTGATCTGTCACATGAGGCTTTGAAATGCTGACTCCAGACTGCAGATTTATGGGAACTTAATGCGGGAATATAGAGACGTTTATGATGTGAAGGAGCATGCTGAGTCTGACACAAAGGAGGGAAGGGGTGTTTCCAAAAATTTGCAAAAAACAGAACTAATCTTACAACCTAAACAACCACATCAGTGGTTTGTTGCTTCTTTTGGGGACTTTTCAGGAGGCAACCATTGATATAGGGCTGTAAAATAAACAGTAACAAAACCATTAGAAAGTATTTATATAATTTGGCAATGCTATGGTCAAGAGATGTGGAGAGAATCGTTATGCTTAAAATAAGAAGGTACTGTGCATGCTCTTTACTTCAAGTAGCATCAGCCCATTAATCCACCCCAACATCCTCCCAGCAGCCTCCTAACAACGGCTATTGTTAGTATGGCCACTAGAGGGCGAAATCATTCGATCGTAAACATATGGGTGTGAAAACTGAATAAAATGTTAATGTGCATTTTTTAATGGAAAACAGTCTCAGAAAGAAACAAAAACCAGAAATCCTTTGCTTGCTCCTCATAATATAATGCTTACATTTGTTTCCCCTAGAGAATCCACCAGACCCCAGTTTGGCAACTATGGACCTTTGACCCTTTCAAGAGCCACTAATGGAGCCTTAAAAGTCCTGTGTCAGGAACCAGGACTTGTTTATTGTGAAATTAATTGAGATAGAAACTAATTTTCAGCATGGCTTAATTCAGGGCTGTGTAATATATTTCCTCAAGAGGCCACACGAGAAACTGAGACTGTTGTGGAGGACTGCACCAATAAAGTTTTAAAGAAGTAAAATTAATACTGAGCAGTTCAGCTTATTTGCGTGGCCCCCACGGGACAGTCTCAGTTTCTCATGTGGTACCTTTGGGAATGTTTATTGCCCACCCCTGGAATCGGCGTGAAGTTTGATCATAAAACTAAAGCATACATATGCGCAGGCTCAACTACATTATATAAATAAAAGAATGTAAACATTCTAATATGAGATTAATCTTGTACTGTAACACATTTTACTTCTCCTGTACTTCTGTACTTCCTCCTCTTAACCAAATGTTGGAATCTGGCTGCACGGATTTGCTCCTGTACAGTCATAAGAATGTTAATGAGGTCCATCACTGCTGGGCAAGGTCTAGCTTGCAACCAATGTTCCACTTCATCTCAAAATTATTGGATTGGAATTAATTTTGGGCTATGTGCAAGACAGTCAGGTTCTTCATAACCAGACTGGGAAATGGATTTCTTTGTGTAGTTAGCTTTGTGCTGTGAGGACTTTCATGTTGTAACAGGAAAGCTGTTGAAACACATATTGTCTCTGATGTGATGCTAGAGCATTAAAATTCCCCTTCATTGTGATTAAGGAGCCTAAGACAAAACAGGGGGAAAAAGGTCCAGACCTAAAGTAAACATGGTGACATAATTTTACACTAAACAGGACACAATAACAATCTATAAAATAGGAAGTAATTAATTACTAGTAACAGTCACGGAGATAAATCCTTTTTTCTTGCCTCTAATATTCATTTATCAATACATTTATTAGGTCAATCATTGTGGAATTCTGCTCCTTGTGTCACAATAACCCACTTAGCGAGGAGAGATTAAGTGAAATAAAGGCTAGAAATTGTGAGTGTGCTAAATAATGACATTTTAGAAGAAAGCTGGCTTCTTCAAGAAACACACACGTTGCACTTGATTTTTTTCATCATCTCTCTTTCCTTTCCTTTTTTCTTCTCCAGTGTTTTTCTTCTTTTTTAAGTCCATAAACTTACAGAGTGGAGACATAAAGCTCTCCTGGCTTGTTGGTAATGTAACTTTATCTCTCTCTCTTTCTCTCTCACTCACACAGGGAGAGAGAGAGAGATACGGGGAGATTTACATTAGCTGCACAAACGCTCAGAAGCAGTCAAACAGAAGTAGTAGCTTTCATTATTTTAATTATTTATTTATTTATTTTTAAAGTAGTAGCAGCAGGAGGACCAGGGTTTGGGGGTCACAGCAGGAAACCTGAATATGGGGACCAGAGAGGGTCTGGGTTAGGGGGTATGGAGGAAGTTTTGGAGAGATCTGGAGACGGGAGGAGGTCCGGGTTTCACAGAGGAGGCAGGACTTTCTGGCTCCGTGGTGCGCTCCGACACCAGAGGTCCGCTTTAATACCGGGGGTGGAGGAGGAGAAGCAGGTCGACTATTTACACCGCTCAGCCAGAGAGAGGCTGCAGACCGCTTCTCCGCCCCGAAAGAGTCGGCATCGAGCATCCATGTGACAAGCGGACTTTGGGATTGGGAGCGCAGATTAAGACAAGTCTACTGCTGGAAAAAAATTTGACTCGCTGGCTGGAAGACGTTTGAGTTTTAAACTCTCCTGTTGATATAAATGTGCACGTGTACACCAGAGCTGCATTTACCTCGGACACTTCGGTCTGGACTCTTCTGACAGTCGGAGTGGAGCAAAAGTCATTTTAACAACTCACAGCTCGCCGTTCCTCTCAGGATATTCACGTCTGCAAAATCTGAGACTGCTTCTCTATGTAAATAATTTCAATTCGTTCGCAGACTGTGTTTTTTTCCGCAGGGCGTGCGCGGCACAGCTGTCTCCTGCTTGCCGGCGCGTCTTTGTCATTTTAATATCACTGTAATCACCGCGCGTCTGGCTGATTGCCACTTCGCATTTCAGCTCAAACTGACAAACTGAGGAGATTTTCTCTCCTGGTTGACATGCAGACCAGAAGTTTTCGAGATTAGCTTTGATTGTGGAATTTTTATCTTCATTGTTTTCCTTTGGATTGATTTTATTTATCCCTTCATTTCCCCCCCAAGCTCTTTGATTCTTCTTCCTGGAGCAAACCCGAGGATGTTGTTCCGCTGGTTGAACCCTCCCTCCTGGTCCACCTGTAGGTTTTTCTTTTGCTTTTTGCTGCTGCTCCAAACGCCCCAGTCTTCCTCTCCGCTAATTACAGGTAAGATTAAAGGGATCATAAGGCTTCATAATAACACATCACAACTCCCTCCGTGCGTAAAAATCTACCCAAACCCCTGGTTATTTAGTCTGCTGCCGCGTCTCCTTGCTCCTTCGGTCTTTTTTTACTCTTCCAAGAGTAGCGCACCAAACCAAAGTCACTCCAGCTTCTATATATCTGATGACCAGTAATGTGGGGCAGCGCAGGGAAGGGTTCAGGAAGCGCTGATGATAACCTTCAGTTTGTTTCACAAGGAAACAGAAAAGGATGAAAAGCGGTTTTATTTTACCCGTTTTATTACCCATTTTCCTAACCCTTCCTTAGCATCACCGTAAATTATTTTGTTTTTTAAGCTCACCAAAATGTGCATATTTTAAAGTTGTTTTTTTTTAGAAAATAGTATTTACAGATTTTGTTTTTAGTTATTTTTCTCTCTCGAACAAGCAACGTTTATCTGGGCTTTTTACGGGAAAGTCTATCACGCGATTATAAACTTCACCGGGGATTATCCTCTCTGTGCCACCCTGCGGGGAATACGCTTGTGCTTCTATTTGAAGCCGTAGAGATAATATCAAACAGCAAGTCCAGCCTGGCATGCTTGTAGTTTGCAGCAGACCTTGTTATTTGCAGGAAGTGGTTTTCTGTCATAGCTATCACGATGAGCCAATATCAAAGTGATTTACACCAAACTTACAAAAATTACACGATGATTCGGATCATTATGATACAAGGTCTGCGTAGAATTATAAGTGACTTTAACTCAAATTGATATTTGTGTCACTTTGGGTTGTAATTAACCCAGTTTTAGTTACAAGCAGGCTGTAAAGTGAAAACCACTTTCCTTAACCAGCTCTAATTTAACAGCACTCTGTCCTCCCTTCTGAGCGGCCTCCCTGTTTGGGGCTAAACGCGCGCTCTCTCCCCGGCTTGCTCACCCTCTTTTGACAGCCAGATTGCATCATAGGATATCGGTTGTTTGCCCTACAGCGCCGTTGAAGTGTGAGAAAAATAGAAGTGGAGTGAATGAAAGGTGGATGTGGTGGTGCGCGCTGGCCGGGCTCCTCAGCCAGTCAGCCCGGCGTGTGTGCGTCTTATCACTGGGTAAACAGCTTTGTGAAGCACGAGACTTCTGCTGCTGACCTGCTTTTACTGACCTAACCTGGCATTTGATAATGATCATTTATTTTCCTACTGTGTCCTCCAGGTCATTGGTAGTGTTGCCATGGCCACAGTGGATTAATGCCATCATAAATTGATTAATTAAAGGAGAAAATGTGATTTAGAGCAGACGTTTTACTTCAGCTTGAAACACTAATACAGACCTCAACATAACAAGGAGCGCCATAAATTACTTTATGCACATCCGCTGCGGTCCTGATAAGAACGAGTTCTGGTTTTAGGGATCCCCCTCTCTTAGCAGTTATCTTATTTTCCTGAAGCAAACCCGGATAGATGAGAACCAGATCAGGGACAAAACGTGTACCAGATGGGTATCCCTAGTGTATCTGTTTGACATAAAACAGCGTGAGAAACCCCTGAGAACCAACAGCCTCTTTATCATCTGCACCATTACGATCCCAGCAGATCAGATTCCCCCACCTGGCATCGCAAACACGCGCTGTATCATCTGCCTATTGTCTGCTGAACCACAGACCAGGAGTTTCTGAGCTGTTTGAGGTCTTGCAGTCATATGGTTGAACGCGTCAGTGCAGCAGGTGGAGCAGCCGCTTCAGAGGTCATCCTGACCACTAGAGTGTCCACAGCCACAGTAGAACGTGTTTAAATCCACTTCGCAGCACTTGTTACATTTTTTTTGCAAACATTTACTGAATCAGAACTGTTAATGATACTTATATGAGTCCTGCATTGCTATGCATTGACATGTAAGTGAGGCTAGTGACTTAATTGTCTGGAGAAAACCTTTGAGTCAAATATAATTATAATTATTATTTATTAGACCGATATTTCGCGGATTAGTCTGAGAACCGTTTCTCCAAAATTGCATGAATGTGTATTTGCTGGCAATTTTTTTTCAAGGTTAACAAAACTCAGTTATAAATGTTTATTATGTTTCATAAGTCTTAAAGTCCCACCAAGTTGCCTGCATTACCAAAAAGGCCCAGCTCTTCAGAAACATGATGGAATAAGGTAGATTCATTTAATATATTTTAGTGTTTTCATTTTTTATTTCAAGTGGAAAACTGCCACATTTATTTGACAGGATTTATTTCAACACACAAAACAGACAGAAAACATGATGCTTGTAAGATTTATTAGATGAAACCACCTGACAGTATATGAAGCAGTTAACATTTGCTCCACCTGCTGTGCCTGAAATTACTTTAATGCATTAGTTTTATTTTTTGTTTGTATAACAACGTGCAGTACATTCACAGTTAAAGCTAATTAGAGAGATTTTACAGAGCAAGTAGCAACAGCGTGTGAAATTGTTTGTCAAGGAGCTGAAAGGGTTAATATAGATACGTTTGACATTTAGCAGTCTCTCTGTCAATTCAAACAAAAGATTTATTAGATTTTAATCTCAGCTGTGGTGTTTTTGCCGATTTGCCGATCAGAGTCAGAGAGTGATCTCTGAGGGAAGACAGGTCACAGATCTGAGTCAACTTGAGCTCCGGCACTATTAATGGCTTTCTGAACTACTTCATCTGCCTTTTACTTGCAGCACTTGGCAGAGGGTTGAAATAGAGAGGAACTATATAAATGCATCAGTTATAATGTCTATATTGACAGTGCTGGGATATGAGGCAAATCTAGCAGCTGGAAAATGAGAGTTTGGGTTTTTTGGCACTGTAAAAAAAGGCTTGGGACCCCCACCCGCCTACACCCCTTTTCCCTTCCATCCCTCACCCCCCGACACTTATAGGTCCACCAGTTTAATTACACTCGAAAGGTTGTAAATTTTATAGTGGCGGAGTCGGTAGGGTTTGTCTGCTCTGCCCGAATCCACAGGCTCAGGCTGGTTTACTGCTGAACTCAGAGGGACAAAAACAGACGGCATGACTCGCTGCTATAAGGAACTATTGTTGCAGCGTGGAATCTAAGTTTACTGCATTACAAGCCTGATATAAACATTGCTAAGATCTTTATGACTTCAGACATGAGCTGATGTTACCGTTGCTACAGCCTTCAGCCTTTTCATTCAATCATGCTCCATATTTAAGTTACAGTGATAGTGGGTTTAAAATTCAGTGTCATTTTGGTCTTATTGGGTGCTTGATTTTAGCCAGGGGAACACATAAGCTCTTTTTCTTTACCAGCAACCATCAAAATCTTTTTTTTCCCAAAGTGAAATGACACCTGTCGCCAGCAGAGTTTATCGGATGTATCTAGTCAGCTTATTTTGGGGACAAAAATCTTGCAAAAAGTCTTTATATTTGTTTATGATGGCCGGACTTCATGGTAAAAAAAAGGTAAAGGACTGTCGCTAAATTCAGTGTATTTAGGGAGAAAACTAGAACTGCTTAGTCCCTTTATCACAGTGTGCAAGAAAAGATGTCTAATTGTTAACATAACCTGTTTTGTCTTTCTATAACTTAGCTAAATTGCTTGTAACCGATGTGTTTGGCAAGCGCAACACTAACTCAGGTAATGTAAACATTCCCAAATCCAATAAAGAGCAGCACAGAGCTGCTGCAGTGATTTAACTGCAATAGCATCCAGGTGAGGCTTTCACAGAGCGGGGAAATGCTCCACAGGAAACTAGGATTTATAATATAATCTTTAATCACAAAAACTTGGTACTGATGGGGGATTTTTTGCATTTGGAAATAGGTTGGTAGGTAGTAAATTCAATGGGGTGATGAGCAGATAAAATCCCTAAAGTATCTGTTTCTGTAGAGCAGATTTGTGCCTCGTGCACATTGCTTTGTTTCATGGAAGGCGTTTAGGGGATGGTAGATTCCTGAATTGTCAACATTGCAACAAACCAAACAGTCAGGAGTCAGAGGTCACACTGATAGCAGATCAACCAAAAATATCAAAGTGTCCTGAGCCTTTACCTACAACAGCTTGCCTGGTTTTCATTCAGTCCGTTTCCGTGAGCGATCTCATGGAAAGACGTGATCCTAAAGAGACCTATGGCAGCAGAAACCAATACAGAAGGAGGCCATGAGTCCTGTGGCAGCTGTTCAGATGTTTGGGCGGATAGATTTTGTCAAGGTGATAGTATCGCAAATGTACAGTCATGAAACTTCACACGTGTGTACTTGAGGTCCAAATGAAGATAGAGTTTGAAGATAGTTGTAGCCGAGTACTTGACCACTAATTGCTGGAAGTACAGGGACAATGGCCTCATTTAATGCCTTCATATTCTCTGAGATTTGTAATTGCCCATGAGATTTCTGTATTTAGTGCATGAACTGCTGCAGCTGGTGTGAAACCACTGAAATATGGTCTCTAGTTAAAGCATTCAAACTCTTGGGTTTTGAATGCTTTTCATCATCGTGCAATTTAGAAAACAGTTTTTTGGATGAACTGTAAGTTCTGAAACTGTTCATTCAGCCATGGAGGAGATACTGCAGACGCACGACAAATTACTGGAAGAAGGAAGTCGTTTCACACTCAGGCTTTAACTTCACCTCAATGACACCCATTCAGCTCTAAAGTAATTAAGAAGGAAGGTTTTAGTTCAGAGAGTCAAAACAAATATAGTGCATGAACAAACGGCCGAGTATCAGTCTTTTTGTTTTTTGCTGCTACAGCTCTCTAAGCAGCAGAAACTGGTGCCTCTGAGATGTTGACATCTGTGTTCTTCTACCCATAAACCCATGGATTTAGGGTCGTTTCCTGTCGTTGGTTCAGATTACATTGGACTCGTAACAAACCGACTGACTCATGTTTACCAGTCTCTTTAGCATGGCTGACATCGTTTTCATTGTTTTCTTATGAGTCTGTCTGTCATCACAACATCATTGTGGTCCTGGAGACATCTACTGTAGCAGAAACCCAACAAAGACAGTTTTGAATACTGTGGCAGGTGTTTTTATGTCTGTCTGTGAACAAATTTAGTCAACACGATACCACCAGAGTCGGGCAAGATACAGTTACAAAACCTTTAGTGTGTAACAAGAAACAAGAAAAAAAAAAGATGAAGGTGAAGATGGACATGCTCCATCCCACGAGTGCAAGTAACAGGCACTGGAAACAGTTGGTTCATCTATATAATGTCACTGCTCTTAACCGGACAGACAAATTAGACTTAAAGTGATATTTATGTATATTTATGTATTTTAGGCTGCTTCTTTATGTAGATGTTAAATATTTATTATATGTTGATTGTTGCATGTTTAAAAATTGTTAGTTTAGGACGTATCAAATATCTCTACACTGGCATGGAAGAAATCCAAGCTTCTTTCTGCTTTGCATCGCTTGTTGTGCAAAAGTATTTAATACAAGCCTGTGTGACATCATCATCATCATCATCGTTTTTCACTCTCCTACATCTCACCTTCCTCCTGTCCTCTATAGGTACTGAGGCCAGCTGTGACAATGAAGGAGAGGTTCTCCACATCCCCAACATCACCGACAACCCCTGCATTACATGCGTCTGTCTGGTAAGACTAACCTTCTCGTCGCTGTCAGATATGTTGCAGAGGTCGCAGTGTGTCTAATGATAGAGAGGCACTGGCTGCCATGGCGCCCTGCCCTCGCTGTTTTTTCTCGCCTCCTTGACATGTAATTGCTGCTACAGGATTTCCACTCAGAGTGAATGGATAAAATGACCTCTCTGAGCACTGATAGGAGTATTTGTAAAGCTGATTATTGAGCTTTGAGAGGTGTTTCTTATCAGAAGGTTGTGAAAGATTTGTAACAGACTGACAGGACTTTGTAACGCAAGTTTCTGGCAAAGTTTCAGGTCAGATTTGATGGATCTGTTCTTTGATTTGATGTTCGACTTTGTGATTAAAACACTTTAGCAGTATTAAACGTTTGAAGCGTCAACCTCTTTATCACAGTGTATAATGTTTTGTTCACATGACCTGAGGATTGCAAGCAGTTGCATTTGCAAGTACAGGAAACCACTTCATAATGCGATTTTTACTATTTTCTTCAAATTTATGACAAAATATCAGTGAAACATGAAGTGGGGATTGTTTATTTTAACATTCATGCTTGTCATCACGCTGTCTTGGCTCGGTCTGGCTGTTAAAATGAGCCAACAAAACGTTAGGGGGCAACTCTTTCCTGGAACATGTGCTCTTTGACCCCTGCCCTGCACCCTCTCCAAACCTTTACTGCTGTAGAGCCTTTTGTTTTAGAGAATGAGAATGGACCAATAAATCCTTTCTGTGTCACTGCTTTGACACCGGCAGAAAGATTCATTCACATTTCTTTAAAAGCCACCAGAACACAGTTTACCATGCAAGCGTGAGCTCGAGGGCGTGTTGTGTGCGTCTGTGCCGATTTGTTAGTTTACATAAGCTTCACACAGTGTATTCCTTTTTATATTTATCTTCACAAAAATGCAAGTTTATGATTGGTTAGAAGTTAAAGCCCAAAATCGGGACCATGCCTCTTGCAGATGGGCAATATATTACAGTTTAGATTTTGCAATAGACATGTTACAAAAAGGAATAATTTAATTTCATTATTTAGGAATTGATGGGAAAATTGGTTCTGCTTTTGTATTGTTATATATAAAGCCACAGCAGCGGCCATTGATCTTGGCTTAATATAAGCATAGCCTGGCAGTGTCCAGCAGTAACAAATCATGGATCATCATGCTGCTCTTTGTTTTTTCTAGTCTGTTCAAAAACTCACAAACGTTTTTTGGTCAAGTGTATTTACCTCATGATGTCGTTTCACCATGAAGCTGGCAAGCAGTCTGCAGTATTTTATTGATCTTTACAAAAGGTTATAAGCATATTTCCGAAAATAGCGATTTTGTATGAGTCGCCTGATGGTAGGCCGTGTCCACTAGTGGCTTACTGATGGGTCTCAATGCATTTAATTAAGTAGGCAAATTTATAAAAAAGTAAATGTGAAAGCAACCATGCTGGTCACAGAAGGAGGGCAGTAGAGTAGTAGACCAGGTCTACTTTCTTACCTGTACATATCAAGCTAACGTCTACGTTAAGCCAAATTGTCATGTCCACATTGGGAATGAATTGGGTTTTAAATGCACGATTCCTAGGAATTAAAACATTAAAACAGTATTAAGCCCCAGCTAATGTTTGATTGTTCACTGGCTCCTGATTGGCTGCTCTAATGCTGCCCTCTGCCTAAAGACTGACTGAGCCGTCCTCTGTGTTATCAGGCAGACATCAGCCAAAGCCCTGCTGAATGCTATCAGTCATCAGGAGGCAATGGCCGCCCTTTCATCTCTACTTTAAGCCACCCTGCATATGCACACACACACACACACACACACACACACACACACACACACACACACACACAC